GGCAGTGGCGAGCGCATTGGTGAAGAGCAGTTCAAGGAGATTGAGAAGAGTATGCTGAATCAGAAAGGTAGCAAGAAGATCCTGAACGACTTGAAAGGCGAGTATCGCATGATGACGGTGGTTGCTTTGGCCAATTTGGTCAGGGCAAATGGAGAGCCCAATGAGAAGAAAGGTGAAGACGGCATGAGTGAATGGTGGATGGTTGTCATTGCCATTTTGGCGGTGATTGGAGCCTTGGGCCTAGTCAATTGGACATGGCATTTCTTCCTCCGGGTGATTGTGAATGAGACGAACCAGAAGAAGAAGATTGGCATGCACGCTGAAGATGAGGACAGTGAGAGCGATTTGTGGGCTAGAAAGCCTACTAGGCAGAGGAAGAAACAAAGAGGGTAACACATACCCTAAATGTAGCGTGTGTGCAGAGCATGAAGGCAGCATGTTAGACCACCAGTGAAATCCAGTCATGCCCTGCACACATGTGAGCACCTGTGAATATGGTGATCGCAACATGGAGGCTCTAAGCCATAGCAGGAAAAGACCGCTGCGCTACCGCTTTGCAGAAACGCAGTCTGGATGCGGTGCAGCCAACCTGCTGTGAGGGGTCGGCCCTCCACACTGAAATCTGGCGGGTCGTCAATAGCGCATGCGTAAGAGGCTGGGCTTCTGTATGCGTTCAGGCCTCCATGCTGGCTTCTTGGTACTGCTTGGATGACAGCCTGAACTACCAAGGGATCCATTTGAATTGCTTGGCTTTTGGTCATCTCAGAATCCATGCTGAGCGAGCGAGTGCTCGGCATGCTGTCTGGCCCGAGGAGTTCGCCGGGGTCGGTAGTTTTTGTGGAATTTGCACTAGTTCTTGCACGAGGTCGGCATTCAACTTGGGGGGCAGATGCTCTGCCTATGCGCTGGCTGGTTGTGCATGTGAGTCAGGTGGCTTCTGGGAAGCCTCTCTGAATGCGGGTGTGCTGGTTGTCGCTGCCGCTGCCGTGCCTGACATAGAGCTGGCGGTAGCCAGCGCTCGTCTCAGGCGCGCTGCAGGTATGCTATGCGCCTACTCTGGGACATTGAGGGACAGCCAAACGTCAGCTGGTACCATGTCCAGGAGCTGATTAAGGTCCGATGCGTCTGTGTAGGCATATGCGAAATCTGGGCTGTCTTCAAATCCCGCCAGGATGTCTGGCGTGTGCGAGCAAGTCACGCAACGGGCGGAGCTCTCGGCGGATTCACCATGTGGCGCTTAATCAGGTTTCGGGAGAGATGAGACAAAATGGCTGCCAGGCCGAAAACTGCGCGGGCAGCGAAGGTTGATGCGTTAGACGTCTCCAAAACGTAGTGAATGCAACAAAAAGGTTAGTGAGTTGCACAGGTGCGCGTGCAAACAATCGACTTGCCCTATGCGTGCCAGCCAAAATATTGCTTTGAGCATTGGTCGGAGCAAAATGCGGACGCAGTGTCGGTCCTCCGTGTTGGACCAGTTGCAAGAGCCAGTTGCAAATCGGCCAATTGAATGCCTGAGGCGTGCACGTAATCCTAAAAGGCATGAGTGCAACGGAAGTACTGCGCTAGCGTGGAAGCAGTGAACGTGCGCAGCGAGGATTCGAGTGCTGCCTGCGGGTCTTGAGAGGCTTGGGCGGCAACTTGCAGTCTTGAGTTGCGGTCGAGCACGGGGAGGATCTTCTGCTAGTCGCTGAAACACTTGCTACGTTGGTCGGCTTGCAAGGATGCCTAGATGCCTTGATGTCTTCCGCGAAAATGCGCCGTCTGGTGTCCGGGTCGTGCGGGGCTGTGGTGTGTGGTTTAAACACAAGCTGCACTGCGGCGGTCGTCCCTTGGGAGGTAACAGTGGGCTGGTGTCAGGCGCCGACCATGGAAACGAAGGCTGCGGTTGATGGATCAAGCCGCCTTTGGGGACAGCCGGCGCTGGCACGAACGTGGGTGTCACCGGTCTGATCTGATGTTGCAAAGATGACACAGACATGGTGGCCCCCCGCAACATTGAGAGGGAGCCCCAATGCTCCTTGTCACGCCAGGGCATAAAAAAATTGGACCCGGGCATGGGCCCAGGAAAGTGAAATGGCACGCACATCCGGAAGCATGCAGGACTGCATTGAGCGCGGCACTGGCTGACCTGCGCGTGTTGCCCAGCATATGCAAGGAGTATAGCAGGCTAAAACTTAGACCAGGAGGCCCAACAGCACTCAGAACTCCTGCACACCTGAACGGAGTTCCAGGCCTCTCGCCGGTCGAGTTAGCACAAGTGCAAAACAGTCAGGAAATACAGAGACGCAGTCGGGAACTGTTCAAGGCAGTGGCTTCTCGGAGCGGAGTCGCCATCACAGAACAGCCTCCGTCAAGCATGGCTTGGCTCGAGCCAGAAAATATCCAGTGTTTAAAAGCTTTCCACAGCCGCCTCGCATGGGTGGACGCATGCCAGCATAACGCAACATCTTGGTGCTTTGCCTGCAACAATGCGTGCATACAGTGCGTCGCAGCCAGATGCTCGCGACAAGACACCCAACCATTGCAGGAAAAAAATGTAGCTCTGGTCAGTACATCAGCACCTTGACTGCAGAATGCTCAGCCAGCCTCGCCGATTCCATCCTCAAGCATTGCGCCTTCAAAGCGCGCTCTACCAACACCGTGCACAGGCTGCGCCAGCCATCTATCTTCAGCCTGCACCCCACGCGACTCAAGGGCGGGCATGCATTCTTCCGCAGATCACTCTGTGCCAGAAAAGCGCAACGCACTCCAGCTGCAAGGGATGGAAACCGCACATATCACACAGCGCACACAGGCACACAGATTTTGATGGGTCAGCTGTGACCCTGTCGCGCGGTTGGCAGCGCCACGCCAGGGCGGCAAGCGAGGAGGCTGCTTTTGCGCGGCTCTCGAACACACTTGTGGCATTTTCCCTTGCGCTCCTCATTCCCAGCAAGGTCTCTTCGCAAGTCGCGTCTTCACCATGTTGCCTGTGTCTCTCGAGCTTACACTTCCTTCCCACCTGTTCCATGTCCTCGCTCCACCGCCTCCAGCTCCCACTCCCTATCTCTGAGCGCACGTGTCATTGTCGTCAGCCATCTTGACCCTCTGGGCGACCACCGTGCTGCGTGTGCCAGAGCTGGAGTGTTTCGGAAGCGTGGGTGTTTCGTTGCTCCGCATTACCAGTTGGTTTTGGTTTAGGCTGGCTGGTTTTGGCCGGGTTCTTGGTTGGCTTAGGGTTCGTTCAGTTTGGGGTCGGGCGGAGCAAGGGGAGGCCATCGGAGCCCTGGGCAAAGGGGCAAGCTCGGCACCAGTGTGCTGCCGCAAGCATAAGGCGGCCCGCTTCGAGGTGGGGCAGGGCGACCTCAAGCAACGCCGGAAAACAGGCAAGCGGCCAAGAAACCCAAAGTTGCAGCGGCACGCAGGCCTAGGCCCGCGGCTTTGCGTTGGTCGCCAAAGGGGTCGAGGCGACAACTGATGGAACTAAGCAAACGGGTGGCAACGCACTCATGCGGACAAGCGACAACGGTGGCATGGGGCTGCCTCCCTGTGGGTTTGCGGCTGGTTTGGGTGGTGGTGTTGTTGTTGTTGCTTTTTTTTTTTTGCGTACCGGCAAACCAGCCATGAAAGAATCAAACCCGAGGCGTGCAGCTGGACAGGCCCAGCAACATCGCAACTAGGTGGGCCAAGCTAGGCGCGCCGCTGCGATGCTTGGCCCTCTCAGCTCTAATGTCAAGCTCTTCCGGGCGGCTGGCCCAGATCGACGCTCACTTGAGCCTTGCATTTCAGACTTCTCCGGAAAAACGCAGCGGAACCCCCAGCCTCCGAGAACCTGCGGCCGAGAAGTAAATGCGGTCCTGGAGGGGCAACCAAGGAACGAGCCACGCTGGCCCAGCAGTCTTGATTTATGACTGCTGGCTTGGACGCTGGAAAAAGGCGTCCGTGGAGGCGTCCGTGGAAAAAGGCAAACGTTGAACCGGCACGGACGAAGTGGACACGCTCGGCCTTTGCGAGCAATCCCTGGCCACACGCCTCGCTGCACGGGGCTGATTATCAGAGGAAGGAACGTTTTTTTTTTGTGTTTGCCACGCACCCGAAATCCCCCGACGCTTCAGGAGTGGGCGTCGAGGTGCGAGAAACCTTGCAACCGAGCCTCAGTCTTCGCTTGAGTTTTGCTAGCGCTGCGGCCCGCGGTTGTGCGAGCGTACAGCCGTCATAAAGAAGCAGCCGGGCTAAGAAATTGCGAGAGCAGTAGCAGCGGTAGTTGGTAGGGCAACAGTTCCGCTCAGCTTGCGGCGAGGCACAAAAAAACGAGTGGGCGGACAACAGCATGTCGACACTTGGTCCTGGTCGTCGCCGCAGCGCCACGCCAACTTGACAGCCACGCTAGAGCAGAAACATTTCTCACACATGTAGAGCCGCCACACTGGCAAGCCCGCGGTGGCCACGAACGATGCGCTTGGCATAGCCTCCACAGATTCCGCAGGACGGTGCCAACACCCCGCCCGGGGGATGCCACGGCTGGCCTTTGCGAGTATCTGTTTTGACGAGCTGTGCGATGGTGCTCCTGGACTGTGCGGCACAACTATGGGCGCGCTGCTATGCCCGGCGCTGCTGGAAGTTCGGGATAAATCCCTTCTTTTGACGCCGGGACAGCGTCAAGGCGCCGGTCATCCCGGCAGTCGACCGCGAGATTCATGTCCGCAAGGCGAGAGTTGACTGTGACTCTGGCGCCGCAGACCCGAGCGGCAGCTCGCTCAACGGGGCAACCGCGCTCCGCAACAACCCTGCCCGAGCGCACGTTCAGTCCAGCCTAACGCAAGGAATATGGAAGGGGTTGCGGCCGAACATGGGCTTGGAAGAAGGTTCTTGTGCTGGATCTCGCGCATTGTGCTTGGGGTGGGGGGCCGGTTGTCCGTTGTCGTAAGTTTTCTCTTGGCCCGTGTTCGAGTTAACGTTCTATGCGTTGTTTTGATCATGACAAGTGCTTGGCGATGATTATGGGACGTTCAAACATTTTGGCTCACAGGTAATAACTTGGTTTTGCCTATGTTTAGTTTTGCACGACACGAACTATACAGCGCCCCGGCGGAAATACTGCGTTTGCCAGCAGTCAGTAGGGATTTTTAGGGGTGGTGAGAGATAAGGGGATGTGGGGTAGGCAAAGTTTGGCCGGCTCGCAGGTTGGTTTGAGTCCTTTGTTTGTTGGTCGAGGCACTTGCGCTGCAATACCCGTGGGGTATGCAGCTGCTTGTCGGCAGGCACTGCTCTTGGAGGGGCTTGAACAAGCGACCAGCTAGATTTCTGCGATTTTGGGCGGTATCAGTACAAACAGCCCAAATATACTGTATAACCCCAGAACATTGCACCAAGTTGATGCAGCTGAGGAGATGCCTCACGACAGGCGAGTGAATGATTCATTTGCGCCACCCAAACATTTGGTGAAGCGGCCTGACATGAATTGGTCATGGCTGTGACAGACAGAAAGGGAGAGAGGGAGCCAGCAGATAGAGAGACAGAGAGAGAGAGAGGGAGTGAGAGGGAGATAGAATTTATTGCCCTTTCCTGAGACCTTTTAAAGGCTTGCCCGTTTTGGCGGGAAATTCAACCTTCGAGCATTCCAGCAAGTTTCATCTAAGGACAAAACTCTGCAAGCATTTTACCAAAGGCTACTGCCGGTACCAGGCTCTGCGTCACTTTTTTGTTGGAGCATACTGAGCTGTTGGAGTTGGGTTCACGCAGGGCAAGGTCTGTGTTGCTTCTAGTCAGGATCAATGCGCTTTTGCGCACGAAACAGATGAGCTGGTCTATCGACCTGATCTGACGATGCTTGGCTATCCATGCATACATGTCATGCTTGTTTTTGTTTTTTCTGCAGTGTTCCGTTTTGCTTCCAGTCATTGAGCGGGCTCCTCGCACCAGGAAAACAAAGATGCGGAGCTCTTAGGTTGATGTTTGCGCTTTGTGCTCATTTTGGTTTCGGTCCAACAGCGCTGGTTTCGGTGGCAGGTGCAGCCGGTTTTTGGTGGAAGGCGGCTGCAGCAATAACTGCAGTTTTGCACACAGTTGGGAAGAACTCCGCCACGTGGACCGTCGTGGATCTGCAGCCGCATCGGCACACTTAGCCGCCTGGCGGGAGTTTCTATTTGGAGCAGCTCGTTCTTTTTTTGTTGGTTCTTTCTGGGGGTACGGGTGCACATTTTGAGGGCTCTCACCTTTGCAGAGAAACCCCGGTGTAACGGTATTGACAGGTACAATCACCAAGCACTTGTAAGATGGCACTATCTGTAACACAACAAACTCATGCGCTAGGCTGGCAGGGAGGTCGGCAAGCTATTGCGGCCATCAACATCAACTACAGATTGTTTGGTTGCTCAGTTTTAGCAGGCATCATTTGTAGTTCACATACACGGACGCCACGCAGATGTAGGCAAGAAGAAGCATCAGACAGTAAGGTAGTAAAGCAAACGCAGAGATGCGTAAGACGGGACAGAGACGCATGCACACGCGCACTCACGCACACGCACACGCACACGCAAACACACACACACATATATATATATATACATATATATAATATACACATATATATATACATATGTGTATATACAGACACACACACACCAACACACCCCCACACCCACCCTCACACACCCACACCGACACCTACACACCTACACCCAGACCCACACACACAAAGCAAGCAAGCAAGCAAGCAAGCTAGCAAGCTAGCAAGCTAGCAAGCTAGCAAGCTAGCAAGCTAGCAAGCAAACAAACACACAAACAAACACATTAAATACAAACACACACACACACACCAACACACAAGCAAGCACAAGCACAAGCACACAAGCAAACACACAAACAAACACACAAACAAGCAAACCCACAAACAACACACAAACACAAACAAGAACACAAACAAGCGCAAAACACAAACACATTTGCGCGAACACACACACACACACGAAGACACACACACACACACACGAAGACACACACACACATACACGAACACACACACACAGACAGACAGACAAACAGACAGACAGACACAGAGACAGAGACAAACACACGAACACACGAACACACGAACACACGAACACACGAACACACGAACACACGGAACACACGAAACACACGGAACACACGGAACACACGGACACACGGACACACGGACACACGAACACACGAACACACGAACACACGAACACACGAACACACAAACACACGAACACACGAACACACGAACACGCGGAACACACGGAACACACAGAACACACGGAACACAGGGAACACACGGAACACACGGAACACACGGAACACACGGAACACACGGAACACACGGAACACACGGAACACACGGAACACACGGAACACACGGAACACACGGAACACACGGAACACACGGAACACACGCAACACACGGAACACACGGAACACACGGAACACACGGAACACACGGAACACACGGAACACACGGAACACACGGAACACACGGAACACAGGGAACACACGGAACACACGGAACACACGGAACACACGGAACACACGGACACACGAACACACGAACACACGGAACACACGGAACACAGGGAACACACGGAACACAGGGAACACACGGAACACACGGAACACACGGAACACACGGAACACACGGAACACACGGAACACACGGAAACACACGGAACACATGGAACACACGGAACACACGGAACACACGGAACACACGGAACACACGGAACACACGGAACACACGGAACACACGAACACACGAACACACGGAACACACGGAACACACGGAACACACGGAACACACGAACACACGAACACACAAACATACGAACACACGAACACACGAACACACGAACACACGAACACACGAACACACGAACACAGGAAGCACACGAAACACACGAAACACATGAAACACACGAAACACACGAACACACGAACACACGAACACACGAACACACACACACGAACACACCCACACACAAACACACCCACACACGAACACACAACCCACACACACCAACACAGAACACACGAACACAAACACACAAACACATGTGTGTGTGTGTGCGGTTTGTTTGCACACTGTGTGTGCGCTTTGTGCTTGCTTTGTGTGCGCGTTGTGCTTGCTTCGTGCGTCCAACCGACGTACCTGGCATGGTTTTACCTGTGAATAGTTTCTTTTGGCTTGAGACTTCGCGTGTGTTGCTTAAGACCCCGAATAGCCCAAAACGTTTAGTGCCCTGCCCTGCGTTTGACTGATTAGTGTGTGTGTGTGTGTGTGTGCGTTTGTGCATGTGTGTGTGTGTGGGTGCGTGCGTGCGTGTGTGCGTGCGTGCGTGCGCGCGCGCGTGCGCGCGTGCGCGCGTGCGTGCGTGCGTGCGTGCGTGCGTGCGTGCGTGCGTGTGTGTGTGTGTGTGTGTGTGTGTGGGTGCGTGCGTGCGTGTGTGTGCGTGCGTGTGTGTGTGTGTGTGCGGAGTGGCAGAATACCCTGCCACCACAATTTCTCATGCAGGGGGATCAGGCTTCCAGTGACTGACCTGATCCAACGAAGCTAGGTCACCTCCCTTTGGCTGGGGACGCTCAGCTATGTACCTGCATCGAGTCGCTCTTGTGCCCCGTCGCGGGCAGCCAGAGGACACCCCCCAACAAGGTCCCCTCTTTGCCCGCGGAAACCAAGCGTCTTGCGAGCCGAAACTCATCATACTCGAGACTTATCAGTTGTACTCGAGACTCAGTTGTACTCGAAAGATGAGAACCCTCCATTTGGAGTTTAAGTGTGACTACCCCAGTCTTGGGGGACCCTTGGGCGCACCCATCGTGTGACCCCGGGCCGGTTCGCCGGAAAATTTGACCTCAACGTCCTTATCATAGTCCAGCGGAATTTCACTTTTTAGTAGGAGCGAGGTTTCACTAAAGGGAAGACAGCCGTTCGATCATAGGGAAGTCTCACAATTGCTGCTGTTTGCTGCATGACCGCATGTTGATCAGTGCTTGACTTGAACTTTAATTGACTTGCATCTTGTCGGATTTGGTTTTCTCAAGATTGAGTTGTCGCGGTTTTGAGTTTGTTGTGACACCATGTCCTGTGACACCATGTCCAAACGGGATGATTGTGACAGATCTAGAACTCGGCGCAGAAGGGATCGGAGGCCACCTTCCCAGCCTCGCAAAGCGCGCAGACGTGATCAGGATGACGCCTTGGTGGACGGCATGGATTGGAACTGATGTCCTGGCAACACAATCCGAGTTACAATGCTCCCAATACCTTTCCAATGACACAAAGCAACTACCAGCCGAATCCCTCGTCATCACAGCTCTATCAGCAACTGCATGATGCCGTTTCCTCCGGAACCCATACCGGCGAACATCGTGAAGCCCATGATGCCACCACCTGCCCACGCACCAGTTCATTCTTCCAAACTACGACATCGCCAGGATACCCAGCTACGCTGCCAGTGCAGCCTCAGAAAGCGTGGCTTGCCCCATCAGAAGATTGGAAACCTGGTGACGGCATGTTCGACGTCAACCAGCTATACTCTTTCACCCTGCCCATGACGGTTGCCAACACCCCGCACAACAACTCACGCGATATGTCAGGCATGGATCTCCGGGATGTTCGCTTGGTTCAGGTCATCCACGGGGGCATCTCCAACTGGCTACTGCGACCCTTTGCGCACGGGAGATTCGTGACGTGGGAAGGATTTTGCACCCGCACCGAGGCCTTGCTCTGGAGCACTTGTTCAAAGTTGCTTCGTCGATCGCAGCCGCTCAACCTGCTCACCCTGGAAAAGGACCTTGCCAACCCACTCGGACTCAACATCGAAGACTTCAATCAGCGCATCAAGGTTCATGATCACGCGGCCAATCTGGTGGTTTCTTCATCAACATCATCTGACTCTTACACCCTCTGCTCAAGAGGCCGACATGGTCAAGAAGTACAACGATCTCCATCGTGCTCACGAGTTGCTCCAGGCACAGTATTCCGCATCGCAGCGAACGCCTTCTTCTACGCTGCCCTCTCAGAAAGATGATGCAGAGCTGGTCACACCGCCTCCGACCAATCATTCGCAGTCTTCGACGCCAACCAGCTCGCTTCCTACGGTAAGTGCGGCTGCCCTTGATGGCAGGTCGTTTGATGGTCCATCCCAACAGCAGCCTCGGATCATACAATCTCTTCACGGACTGTCGTCCCCGCCTTCCAAGCCAGCCACACCTCAGCTGCTCGCCATGCACAGCACGCCGGAAGACATCATTAAGCACTACACCTGGACCAGTGATCAACCACGTTTGTACCTCAAGCAGGCTCCTCCTACTACCACTGTGGCATCTCTGGTCAAGTGGGCCAATCACTCGTCCCGTCTCAACGGCAACAAGTCCTTGGAGCCTATGGCGGCGCAGCTCTTGCAGGCTCGTCAACGTTTGCCAAAAGGTGATGCACCTACTTTTGCGGCCATGGCCTCTTTGTGGGGATTAGAACCCGGCTACACGACCAAGCTCTCGGACAAAGCGCTGTGCCGCCTCGTCGTGGTAGCACGCCTAATCACCGGGTGAAATGTTTCTGCTTTTCGAGTATTAGCCCGGATTGGCGATTGCAGCGAAATGATGAGCGGTTGAAAACTTGTTTCGCTTGACTTGGGCCTTGGCTTGTCTTGTGTGTTGATTGTCTGTTCTTGTCTTGTATGTGGCTTGACATGAATCAATTCAGCATCTACCTCAGTTACACCTCATCCTTGAAGTCGGTCCGGATTGCACTTCAAATTCCGATGCATGGCCAACAGGTATGAGCTTCTCAGATGTCGGATCACTTCGTATCTGCTGATTTGCTTTTTACAGCGACTTATTTCCCAAAACCATGGGTGCATTCCGCCGTTCTTTGAGGTCCTTCCCTTCTACAAGACGTCATTGCTGTGTGAAGTCATGCACTCCGCCTTTGCGGATATGAAACACCTTCGGTCCCTCAGGACTCGCTTCCCGGACCTGTATGACTTCATTCAAGATCCGGGCCACCATCAACAACCGTGCGTCTACATCAGACTTTCACCATGGCATAGTCCATACTACATTGGTGCTACTGAGCAGGATGTTCTACGCAGAGAGCACTCTCGC